GAAGCCTGAGTCACCCTGTAAATATTCAAAAGTAACTGAAAGTTTATATAGAAGTAACTGAAAGTTTAAATTGAATATCGACGTTGGAGCGATTTTCGAAAACTACCTACTAACGTTTCAACATAAGTATATGTGGGATATTAATTATATTGTTATATTAGACCTTATAACAAAACTCATCTAACGAAAAAGTGTTAATGTAGTATATTAATATGGAGTAAAAATTTTACTAATTACTTTGCTTTTACTTTACTAATTAAATTCGTTCCAAAAAACGATACGCCACTGGCCATTAGAACAATCCAAATGCGCCTAGTTGCCGGGGTCGGAAATTTTAGACTTCTCTGTCTCTTCTGTCTTTGTTTGACACATTGGAATGTTTGATACACTACCAACGAGTATTTATGAATGAGATGTTCGGTCTATCTTTATAATGTCTTTGGTCAGTACCGAAAGTACCGAAAAAAGCGGGAAATCCCGGTTCCTAAGAGGCGCGGTACCGAAATTCCCGGTTCCGAAAAACAGTTCCGGTTCCGGAAACCCTACTTCTATCACTTGATGGACTGTCACAATAGCATCGGTGATACTAGCAGGTCAGAAAGAAGCCCCCAAAATAGTTAAATGATCAATTTGCAATCGTTTCCAGATAAAGAACATGACAGAAAGATGGAATAACGTAATTTTAAGCCAAAATATCGATTTCTGTGGTTTCCCCATGATGCCTACTATCGAGTTTTTAACTCCACCCAGTTTTTTACACACATCCATTAGCTATGAAATTTATAAATAACTCGGTTTGGTTTGTTTTCAAACCTACTGTCTTTCATTTTTAATAAAAACCATATTTTAAAAACGTGTATTTTAAGCTAATTGGTCATATAAACGATGTGCATGTTTAGTGGGGTATTTGTTGACATTTCCAGCGGCTTTTGTCAACAAACTGTCAGGATAGATAGAGGTATTTTAAAGGAAAATTCTTTTTTGTTCATTTATGTTAGAACAGAAGAAAAGAATATATTAGACGATAATATTAACACCAGATTTTTTTATTGCCAGACAATAAAAAAAACGATTTTTTATCAGGGTAATTAGAGAGTATTTATCAGGGTAATGAGATTAAGTACCTACGCAATTTTTATGCTTATGATAAACCCACTTAACGTCAAGGGTTCTAGGTATATTAGAAAACCTACATACATACATAATAATATGTCAATAAGTATTTAATTTCGTTTTTTTTTCAGAAAAAAATCTTATTTTTACAACAGTAGCAAGGATTGTTCTATGAAATTGTTTATCTTTTTTCCAGTAATTGAAGAAATACATATATTTGATTTTAAAATTTCAAGAAGCTGAGATAAAAAGTCAATTATTTGAAGGTAATTAGTTTTTTTTGTATATTAATATAATTTGTTTATATTTTGTTTAGATATGCAATAAATATATACAAGGTGTAATAAATAGTGTACTACAGAGTTACTACCATGTTATATGGAACCGAATCCTGGGTACCGTACCACCGGCACACGAACGCATTAAACAAGTTGCAAAAGAGACACCTTAGACAACTGTTATAGTTATTAATGATACAAGTTCGATACGAACATCATTTTAAAAAGTTCGTATCGAACGTGTATCATTCAAAATTTAATCTACGACGCGACACGAAAGACGATCCAAAGAGATTTTGATTTAATTTAAAATATCAGAGATATCCTTATAAAAATTAAAATTCAAAATTTTCAGGTGCCCATATTAGTCGACGCCGTGGTAACCGTGCTTGTTGATTGTTTCCATTTTGACTTTGACAACTCGAATTATTGATGTTCAATTTTGTTTTAAACGTTCAGTTTTAGCAAAAAGCAAAAAATAATATTAATATGGGTGATTCTGATTCTGAACGTGTCCCTTCGGATATTGAAGGCATTGCGCAAAACGTTGTCGATTCCCTACTTCCCGAAAAATCAAGACAAACGTATGAGCAAGCCTATGTAAAACTTGAAGATTGGTGTAAAGGGAAAGGAATCAAAAATAGTAGTAACGAAAAGGTTCTCCTGGCATATTTTGAACATCTTTCAAAACATAGGAAGGCTTCATCACTTTGGGTATATTATTCCATGCTACGTTCAGTTATATCAGTGAAGAAAAATACAGATATTAGTTAAAGTACGTCCATTTAATTGCATTTCTAAAAAGAAAATCGGAATGATTTCGGTCAAAAAAATCGAGAATTTTAAGAAAAGAAGACATAGCTCGTTTTTTGTTGGAAGCTGATGATAAAACTTATTTCCTGACAAAAGTTTCATTGATAGTGGGACTTGCGGGAGCCTGCCGGCGTATCGAGTTGACAAATCTGCAGCTGCAAAATGTTAAAGATGCAGGACAATGCATTCATGTCATTATTCCATTTACGAAAACAAAGATATCACGAGATTTTTTTTATAACGAAAGGGAATGTTGAAGGAATAAATATGGTGGAAATGGTTCGAAGATATATAGCTATGCGGCCAAGCAACACAGAGCATACTCGATTTTTTGTGGGGTACAGAAATGGAAAATGTATTAAGCAACCCGTTGTTGGCATTAATACTTTAGGTAAAATGGCCGTGTAAAATAGCATTGTTCCTAAGTCTTCCAAATCCACAACAATACACTGGATATTGTTTCCGTATATCGTCTGCGTCGTTGCTTGCAGATTCAGGAGTGGATTTATTAACTGTTAAAAGACATGGTGGTTGGCGCTCTAACACAGCGGCAGAGAGCTATATAGAAAATTCCAAAGAAAATAAGAAAAAAGTGTCATGTAATATTTTGGGTAACATTTCTGACAATGATGGGTCTTCAACAAGTTCAAGCACTCAGGAAATAAATTTACTTTCTAAAAATTCAACTCACCTGTCATCGTCTGGAATTAATTTGATCAATTGTACTGATATTTTAATTAATGTTTACAATAAATAAACGTATTTAGGTACCTTTTTTTGCTTGTTTATTGTTTTAAAATTTGCGTGTTATTATGAATTCATAATAGCACTAAGATGGGCTGGTCACGTATGCAGGATGCAAGAAAACCGCCTACCGAAATCTCTTCTTTACGGTGTGCTTGTGGACTGTATCAAATACTCGCCAGCGAGCAATGGCAGTAAGTAAGTAAGAATTTCTCCACCATTATAGATGTTTGTCGGTTAAAATAATAATAACACCCTGTATACTAAATAGTCCGATATTAAAATTAAATTAGTTAGAGTATTTTTAGAAAACTGTGAATATTTTAGGGCGAGGTAAACAAATATTATGGTAACTTATGTGGTTTTCTCAAAACCATGTAATTTCGTTCAATTATTGATACGTCGATCGCGAAAAAATATAAATAAAGCTTACGCTAATAAGTGCTATCTAATCTCTTATATTATTAATCAATCTATATGTAATTTGATTTTTTCCAAGGTAATCGTACATATTCCAATAAGTCGACGGCTGATACAGGATCAATCGCATTTATATTCTTATCAGGGTTAGGGATGGGAACGGTATATCGATAATTTTAAAATATTGATTGATTTGAATCAAATTATCGATGTTTTGTCTTTATTATTCAGTCAACTAATCTCTGAATAAAAAAATAAGTAAGGAGTACAATGCTATCCATATATTCATGCATGGTCGACGGAAAGAGGACTCTAGGGTGGGGATTAAAATTTTGACACATTGCGGTTTTTGCTGACTTTTTAAGCTTTTACTACTCTTTACTATCAGCTAAAATAACACATACTATCGCATTTAATTTTTTTGAAAAAACGCGCTATGTTTGTTAAATTGTCAGAAAGCACCCCCTAGCGTCTACGTTCAAAACCTTATTATTATTATTTTTATGGTATAATATAGAGTAAGAAACGCTCTTTTAAACGAGGCCTGGTTTGTTGGATTCTGATCATCCAGTTCGGAGTTAATAACATTTAAATAAAGATAGATCTAACCTTCCCCCACCACTTTATTTTAGCAGAGAGGGAAAAATGGTTCTAACAAAAAAATCCAAAATTTACTGAACATTATGAAGCTATTGTTTATAGTACCCAATATCTAGGCAAAATTCTGTAAAAAATCTATTTTCTTATTTTCCATAGCAGTTGCGCCAGCTAGCGGCCGTTTTACAAACGTGAAAATAATTTCCAACAATTTCTCATAGCCTCTTTAGTTATAAATATTTTTTTCCGTAAACCCTACGGCTAATACTTTCTGAGATACAGCCGAGAGCTATTCTTAGTGGGACACCCGGTACATACTTGTAGTAAACCGATCATTTATGAAATTCACTTAAAATTAATTAATAATATATTTTTTCTTGCATTTTTGCTTTTATTTACTACTTGTCAAAGATTGTGATTGTTTGTGTTGAAAAAGTGATTATTGACAATGTAAAATAAAACAATCTTTTTATTCAAAGCAACTAGTTAACTATAGAACAAAGCTGGATATGATGATGATATCAGCCCCATATCGATATTTTCTACAAAAATGCCATCCCTATAACGATTTCTAATTAAACCATTAGTGCTAAAACCGTCCTTATCACCCGGCATCAAAAAAAATATGTGCGTAGTATTATTTCCATCATCCTCTGGAATAGAATCCATGTTTGGTGATTACTTTCATTAGTACAGAGATAATATGAATGGATTTTGCTGCCAATCTTTTTATAGCACGTAAATACAAAAAATTACCTAATATTATCATTGCAAGGCTTTGAAATAACATAAAGAATGAAATAGGATGAATGTTTTTTTTATTTTCCTGAAATTATTAAGGAGAATGAGAAATATAAAAAAAATAAAACATTCATGGACGCGTTTCTAGGGTAGAACTATACTACAAGCTAAAATGCTTGCACTCCTTGTATATTTATACGGAGTGTGTTTTAAATAAGTGAAATTCAATTTCTTTTTCGAAAAAAAGCTCATAATACACAACCATAAAAATATGTGCACTTATTTAAAACTTACCCTGTTTAAACAAAAGTGAAAAGCACCTCACAGAGATTCACAGTAATTTAATAATAATTTATCCATACAAAAATATACGTACATCCATTTAAAATCTCAAATAAATCCAGATTTTTAACTTCTCTAATCCATATCACCCCCAAATCCATACGCACAACCCTTTTATTTCACCCTCGACAGTTCTCCAACGCTCAAAAACAAAAAAGAATCGTTCCCCCCATGGGGAGAAACAAACGACACTCGAAAAAAACAATTGCCGTTCTTAAGCCGCGAAAAAAAGCGACGATCGCAACGCGATGGGTTTCAAACAAACGGAAATCGACCAAAACAAGCGAACGCGCGCGTTCAACTGTTGCCGGCGATTGTCGATTGTTCGGTATCGTCGATACGGTATCGAATATGAGATAAAGAAAAATTACAAAAAACGGTTTAGAGACATTATCTTAAATTAGTTAGTTAGGATCTGAGATTATTTTTTGAAAAGGTCTTATTTTATTATTCGATTTTATATTTGACAATAATTATTCATGTAGATTAATTATAATTAAAATAAATAAATTAGTTAAAAATAAATTACAAAATCACCGGTAATTCTTAATTAGGTTTTTTGTATGCTATAAATCATTTGCTAAATAGCCTTTTATTTATTTCTGTAATTAGGTGTCTAAAAATAATACAAAGTACAAAGAAAAGCGTTTTATTTGTTTGGTACTAGACGGAATTTATGTACATATATAGGTACCATCAATCAAGTGATAAAACTGAAAAAAAAATGTGCGTAACACTTTTTATGTATAGATAAAAACGTTAATTGTTAAAAACAAATACAGCGTTTTTTATAAAACTTCATTAAAAGTGTTAGGTACTATAATGACATACTTTTTGGCATTGATGAATCTAAATAAATAAAACTAACACTAAAACTAAACAGAACAATTATTAAAATATCGGGAAAATTTACAAAAAAAATAAAAAAGAAACATTTGGATAAACTAGGTTTGTGAAACTAGGAATTGATATCACAGTGCAAGTAATCAGATGATAAAACCATGTCACATTGAAAAAACCATAATAATTCGACTATTTTCTTTGGAAAACTTAATTTTTTGGTTTTTCTTTTCTTTGATTTTGTTTTATTTGATATTTTTTCATTTTGTTTCTGATTATTATCAAATAAATATGTAAATAATAGTATTTTTTATAACCAGGAATAAATAGGTTATCATGTTTGCCAGTTGGAAACCAGAGTCAAGATTTCTATCTGAGCTTCCTGTCTTAAAAGAAATGAAAAACCACAATCTTAACCACAAAAAACTTCCAACCACTTTCATTTATTGTAGGATATTGTAATCTATAGTGTAGTAAATATAAAAGTAAAATATTCCATGAAAAAAAAGTTTTCGGAAATAAAAATTTTATTCTTCGGTATAATTTAAAAATATAAAAATGTATTTGATCTATACAGGGTGTCATTGAAATGGTGTAAAAAAATCGGGGGGTGATAGTACTCCTAAAAATAGTAAAAAAAGTTCCTATAAGGATAGGGCGGAAAATGCATATTAAGGGAGTTAGGGGCACTGAAAGGGTGAATTTATAAAACGCTTGTTTTAAAATTGTAGGCTAGTAACTTTTTTACACCATTTCAATGACACCCTGTATAGAAAAAATTCAATGTTTGATAAGTATTATACCGGGTGCGTCTCAAAAGTGGCTCATCCCTATAACTTTTTTATTTTTTCAGGTAAAAAAAACAAGATTTGGTATGTTAGTATAAGACATAAATTAGCATTGATTGATGTATTGTTTTTGGTCACTTCCTGTTTCACCGGAAATGACTACAATTTTTGATTTTTAAATGGCACCCTTGGTATTTTTTTTTACTTTATTCGGTAGAAAATGACATTGTGAATAGAATGACATATTATATGTCAACTTTTTTGACATTCTCGCTTTTAATAAAAAATCGTATTTTAAAATTCAATCTAGCATTTACAGATATAGCAGTATCATACCGCCGGATACACTAACAATACCGCCGGTGGTTCTTTAGCCAGTACGTATATTATTTGTCTAAACCCTTAAAACGCACTTAAGAAAAACAACGGCATAAATTTCAATTTTACCATAATGAAATCGCCAGCTTGAAATTGACGCCGAAAGGAAAAATTCTCGAATTTCCTAAAAGCTTTTCTCCCCTGCCAGGATTACGGAAATTATAATGAATATATATGCATACAAAAGAGTCTGTTGTATAGAATCAAGTCCAAGGTCTGTCACGTCTGTTTTGTCTTAGATAGGAAAGTAAACAGAGTAAACAACTTCTTGAGATTATGAATAAATAAACGTATATAAGATATCCGTTGACATTTACAAGGGTAAATAATGCATATATGAACTTCCTTATTTTCAATTTTGATTCTAGAAATATTAAAGTTTTTTTTTCAGACAAGTATTTTAAATTGTATTTGATGTATAATAGAACAATTTGTTGTTCTCATGTTCTCAAACAAATAATATAGACAAAACAAACTTTGAGAAACCCAGAAGAAACATGCCATGACGAGACTAGCCCTCTTGGTTGTCATTTTTTGAAAAATTGCTCTTTATTCAAAATCTGAACAGCTTGTTGTAATTGAAATAACGAAGTTTTTATGTAAAATAAATATTTAACATAGACCAGAAATTTTTGATAACCCTGTATAAATTTAAGGAAGCAATAACATTCTTCTGTAAAGCTACCTTTAAACTAAACACAAGAATTAATTCTGAAAAGTAATGTATAGGGTGTTAATAATCTATTCTATTGTAGCATGCAAATTTAAATATTTTTAAATATCTCAAAAACCAGAGATTTTAGACATATTTAACCCTTATAAGAAATGCCTTTTTTCGGGCTTAAGAATTCAAAAATGAAATAAAATACCGTGTGTTCCATAAGAAAACATATAACTTTGGTATGGATCTTAGTTCTGAAACACCTTGTATATTTCAAAATAATTTTAAATTGTACACATTGCCTCCCCACATATGCCCATAAAATATTTCGTTTCTACATCTTTCCGTTTTCGTATAATCAATCGAGGCGAATGAGGCCATCCTGTATATTTCATATAAATAATCAATATACAAATTTTGTTTTACCTAGATGTTCCAGCCATAATACTCCGGATATTAAAACATGAATATACCAAAATAAACATAACTGCCTGACATGGAGTATCAACTTTAAACAGAAAATCTTAACTTAAAAGACCAAAAAATCTGATTGATTTTTTTTACTATTTCCTAAAAAGGTTTTTTACAATAAAAATAAGGTTTCAGGATATAGATATAAACTACTCTTAGTAGTGGGTTATATTTATAGTAGGTTAGGAAGTTCAGAGATTAAGGGTCACTTCAGAAACTAAAAAGGTGGGGTGTTGTATTTTTATGAGGGTTAAATTCAACCTATTTTTTAGGGGTATAAATAGCAATAAAACGGGGCAAAAAGGGATTTATATTATCGGAATATATGGTTAACGTGACAGAAAAAACAGTATATGACTAAAACAGTGCCAAAAAAATGGTGGGACTCTTCGATTACTTAGAATTTTAGTTGAGTATTTTTTCCGCAATAAGAATTCCGCATTTCAAATTAAAAATTTCCTAGCTGTCTATTATACGAGAGAAAACACAATATTAGTTTTAGTGAAAGTTAGAAATACTCCAGAGTAAGGAATTTAAAAACTATGAATATCTCATAGCTTTATTTTTGTTGAAGATATTGGTTTTTGAAGAAGTGAGCAACTAACTATTAACACAGATTAGGTATCCTATAAGTATACAGATAAAAATCTTATTGTTTTTTATGACGATGTGCAAACGAGTCAAATTTCCTGTGCGCCAAAAAAAACTCGCGTAAAATAACAATAAACAGCGTTATAGAGAGATATCGCTAAACCGAATAGCGTGCATGGACGTTAATAAGGCCAGGTGTTATTTCCTTTACGTGAGGTGGTATTAACTTCTTCATTTATAGTTATCGGATCCGGAAAGAATTCTGATCGCGTCGCGTCCGCTATTTAAACTTAACCTAACTTTGAATTTAAAACTTTGAAATTGTTTTGTTTACTAGGTATTTTAAAACTAAAGGGCTAAAGTGCTTTATTGTTCAACGTCTGCCAGTGGGTTTAGGGCAACAAGCAACAAATTCTCTTAGAAGGGCTAAGTCGTCATCTGCTGTAAACCTAAGACTCTTTATCGGTTCTTTAGTATTGGAAGAGGTGGAATCCATATTTTTGGCCATATTTATTTAATTAAAACTAAAGCAATAATTCAAAACAATTCAAACATAACCTAAAATAAAAGATCTCGCCGGCCGGCTCCGGTTGTCAAATACCCGCACATGCCCATTTAAGCAATTTTTAAACGTTATCAGTGGTTATTTAGAAAGAGCGCTTGGTGTAATTGATCTGCAAATTACGTCAGGCGGTAACGTTATTAGCGGGTGTTGCGTTAAAAATTGACTCGCGCATATCGTAACCATGATAAGGTACGCGTAAATGCTGGATGACGCTATTCGGTTTTCCGATATCTCTCTAATAACTGTGCCGGTCAGGCGCTGTGCACAATTTTAGAGGCCATACGTGGGCGTGCTATGTGCGCAAACTAGTCACCTAACTAGTGCCCGATTCCGAAAATTGGAACCACGATAAACAATAAAGAAAAAACAAAGATTATAATCTGTATAATCTGTGCTATTAATGACAATTTTAGTTTTATACAGGGTAGTCGGAACTGTATTCTGGAAACTTGGGCAGCATATTTTTTCCGAATATTTTCTGAAGTAACGTCAATATTTGGATGAAAATTCGCGTCTGGAAGTTTTTTGACATGAGAAGTTTGATTTTGATGTCATTATGACCCTCATTTTTAGGGGGCGCAACTTACAGACTAATGTTGTTTTAACTGTTTTGAAAAGTAATAACTTTGCGTCCGTACCTGTATAAAATTACTGAGCGAAAAAATATACAATTCCGTGATTTTTTACGTAAAAAATGTATCTTGGTAAAAAAAATCGTAATTAATAAATATTGACGTTACTTCAGAAATTATTTTGAAAAAAATCGAAATAAAAATGAAATTTCTACACCCTGTATCTCGGAAACTAAACATTTTAGGACATACATTTATACGAACTTTTTTACTTATTTTTATCTGCAGATTATGCTGGCGAAGTTTCCGAAATACAGTCCGGACCACCCTGTATAAGCATGTCTTTGGTTTTGATCCTAATCAAAGGCAATTCTAATGGTATGATGAAGTTTTCATTAACCATTATTACATGATACCCTGTAATTTTTTTTATTTCAAAAAAGTCGCAACATATTTA